AACGCCAGCAGATAATAAGTATGTCTTTGTCCTGATTGATGATTTCTCCAGGTATATGTGGGTTATACTTATGAAGGAGAAGAGTGAGGCATTCGATCGATTCAAAAGGTTTAAGGAGAGTGTAGAGAAGCAAACCGGGTCAACCATCAAAACCTTTCGCACCGATAGAGGAGGAGAGTTTACCTCAGCTGAGTTCAATATATTCTGTGAAGAGAATGGAGTTCAAAGGCACCTTACCGCGCCTTACACACCTCAACAAAACGGTGTTGTGGAGAGGAGAAATCGAACTTTGATGGGAATGACAAGAAGTATGCTGAAGGCAATGAAGATGCCGAACTACTTATGGGGTGAAGCTGTACGTCACGCAACTTACCTCATCAACAGAGTTCCTACAAAAGCCTTGAAGGATCAGACGCCATACGAATGTCTTATGTTGAAGAAACCTAATATCGAGCACTTGAGGATATTCGGTTGTGTAGCACACGCGAAGATATGTGTGACTCATCAGAAGAAGCTAGATGAGAGATCAAAGTGTGTGATCAATCTTGGAACTGAGCCGGGTTNTCAGACGCCATACGAATGTCTTATGTTGAAGAAACCTAATATCGAGCACTTGAGGATATTCGGTTGTGTAGCACACGCGAAGATATGTGTGACTCATCAGAAGAAGCTAGATGAGAGATCAAAGTGTGTGATCAATCTTGGAACTGAGCCGGGTTCCAAAGCTTATAGGCTCTATGATCCAGTCACAGGGAAGGTGATGGTGAGTAGAGATGTGATTTTCGATGAGAAGAAAGCTTGGGATTGGATGTCTACAACAACTCAAGCGGACTGTGAGCCGAGTATGCTTAAGCTTCCACATGAGGGTGACATAGAAGAAGGTAATGATCAAGGTGATCATGAACATGCAGCTATAAACCAAGATGAGGAAGAAGAAGAAGAAGAGGCGGATCACAATGAGAATCAAGACGGTGGAGTTCAACCGTTGGTGACTAGACACGGCCGCACCATAACAAAACCAAGATATCTCGATGATTATGTGTTACTTGCTGATCAAGAATGTGCAATGTTGTTGCTCACAGTAGATGGAG